TTTACACTCTATATAAATGATCTTCCAAATGCCATAGATCAAGAATGTATTCTGTTCGCGGACGATACCACCCTTATCTTAAAATGTCATGATTTAAATAACTTTGAAATGAAAATAAATGAAGCTCTACATAAGGTTATTGAGTGGTTAAATGCAAATAATTTAAATATTAATATTAGCAAAACGAAATTCATGCAATTTAGATCATATAATTATAATGCGAGACCTGTTCAAGTACAACATAATAACCAAATGGTAGATACAGTCGACTGCTATGGTTTCCTAGGAATACAATTGGATGAACATTTAAACTGGAAACATCAAATTGATCATGTGTGCAATAAACTAAATAGATTTGTTTTTGGTCTACGTAGACTGAGGCAAACTGTATCTCGCGACGCTGCAATGATGGCCTACCATGGGTACGTCTCCGCAGTATTAAGCTACGGACTTATACTATGGGGAAACTCAGTAGACGTAAATAGAGCATTTGTGGTCCAAAAAAAGTGTGTTCGCGCTATCTGTGGAGCTAAAAAGGATGACACCTGCAAGCCACTTTTTAAAAAGCTAAATGTCCTGCCTCTGGCCTGCATGTACATTAGAGATATCTGCTCGCTTGTAGATAACCGCCCACACCTCTTTAAAAAACGCGCTGAAGTATTACAGAGACGATTGAGAACTAAAAGAATGAATCTTTTGTATCAACCTCCTTGCTTTAAAATCATATATGAAAGAAATTCGTTTAACATGTCAATTAAAATATATAACCATTTGCCAAACCACATAAAACATTTAAGGGGACACGAATTTAAAAAAACTTTAGCATCTTGGCTAATGGACCACTGTTTTTATACTGTAAAAGAATATTTAGAATTTAGGACTGATTAATTTTTAATTTTATTTTATGACATATGTAAATTAATTTTAACTTCAATAATTTGCATACCTAAGTGCAGGTTGAATACTGTTACTATTACGTTTTCATAAGATCTGAAAAACATGTATTTTTATGTATTCATGCAAATATAAACTTTGACTTTGACTTTGACTGTGACTTTGACACACACACACACACACACACACGCCGCTCACGCACACACTCCCACACGTGCCTAGCATTAAGGTTGCCTAACCTAATTTGTTTTTTATGTAAATTTTTATTCATTCATTATATTTGTTTAGAATAGCACAATTAGTTCAAAATGTATGTATATTTTAGCCCAGCCCTCGATACTCTTGTCCCGCATGTGATCTAAGGGAGAAGGGGGTGACTGAAAACCAGCGCTGCGACTGTCCTGGACAGGAGCAGCACCAGCTGAGACACCTCCTTTTGCCTCCTGTACTGCAATGTTTATAGTTGGTAGTCTAGTGGTTGATATATGTATAGTTGTTATTTTGTTTGTTGTAACAAGGAGGCAATAAAGAGAAATTTTATTTTTTTTTATTTATTATTACAACTACGAATAAGTAAGATTGATTAATTGTATGCTCTATACGACGAAGTTAAGACAAGAATCGAGTGCATTACCGATGAATTTGAAGCACAATTGTCTGCTCGTAGCGATTTCGAGTGCCGTGACTTTAAATTGGTATCAAAAGCACAACAAATCACTGGTGGCTATCACAAATCGCGTAGCAATCCAAGTTCTAAGGCAGGCTCCTCCCGTTTTAACGCCATTAAATTGCCTACAATTCAGTTGCCAAGGTTTGGTGGTTCATATGAGAATTGGTTAGAATTCCACGACACTTTTTATAATCTCATATACACGAATGACGACATAGACGAAATTAACAAATTTCATTATTTAAGAGCGTCTTTAGAAGGGTCGGCTAAGGTAATCATTCATTCCATTGAATTTTCTGCTTCTAACTACAAAATAGCATGGCAACTCCTATGCGACCGCTTCAACAATAAGCGGTTATTAATTCAAAATCACGTCTCTGCTTTGTTCAATATCGAACCGATCGCGAAGTAGTCTTCGGCATCATTAAAACGCGTTATTGATCAGGTAAACAAAAATATACGCATGTTAGAATGTTTAGGCGAATCAACAAAACACCGGGACACACTGTTGATTTATATTGTCACACAGAAGTTAGACACAAAAACCTTTCGTGAGTGGGAACAACGCAAGGGTAACTTCACCAAAGATGAATCTATTACGCTTCAATCGTTTCTTGATTTTATGCAAAACCGGGCAGACTTAATTGAAACACTAGAAGTATCACACCATAGTACGAACACTCACACTAGTTCACAGAAAAACACGAAACTAAAGACTATTGTATCGATTCCGAGCGCGAATAACAGTGATAATAAGAGTTCTTTTAACGCAAAGCCATGTCCAAAATGCAATGATGACCATAAACTAAACAATTGTGCGCAGTTCTTGGCGCTGAGTAACGATGCACGTCTTCAATTAGTACCTAACATGAAGATTTGTTTTGTCTTAATACCGGTTCTGCATCGGGAGCGCAGTGAGCGCGTCCCTACCGCCGCCGGCGCAGACTATAAGCCAGAACCTAACGTCAACTTAACGTTATCGGCAAATATTTCTCCCGCCATGCATAGAAGCCAGGATGAGGTGTTATTGTCAACTGCGTTAATGAAACTGTATGATTCGGACAATCACGAATATATTGCTCGCGCTGTGCTCGACAGCGGCAGTACATCCTGCATTATGACGGAAAGCATGTACAGGAAGTTAAATCAACCCTGTAGCCATATAAATAAATCTATATTAGGCATTAACAATGTTTCGTTACGAATTATTAAGAGGTGTCGCGTGCCTATAAAATCTTTACTAACTCTCTTTCTCTACTAACTTACAATGTTTTATTTTGCCGTCGATAACGGACATAGTGCCGTGTTATCCTATTGATTTGTCGTAGCTCAATATTCCCATTGATGTATGTTTAGCAGATCCTAATTTCCATACACCAAACTCAATCGATTTAATAATCGGTAGTGACGTGAAACACCCGAGAAACCATTAAAAATCTTTCAGTTGAATACTGTAACGTATGGGACTGCCAGCGCCCCATTCCTGGCTACAATGTGCCTTAATCAGTTGAGTCTCGAATGTGACCATCCGAAAGTAAAGGAAATTGTCACACATGATTTTTATGTCGATGACTTGCTGACTGGTGGAGATGATTGCGCGGAGGTCAATGATCTGCGTCGCAAAATAACTTTTGTTTTAGAGTCAGCTTGTATGCCATTGAGAAAATGGAAATCAAACTATGCCGACCTGATGTCTGACTCTGTAAATTCCTCAGTTGATTTAAATGTTGGAGGAAATGAGCCAAGTAAAACACTGGGCTTAGGTTGGCAGACTCAGGATGATTGCCTTTGCTTTGCCATCGGTACAACAATACTTAGTGGCCACACCAAGCGTGAAATGCTTTCAGTTGTATCTCAAGTATTCGACCCATTAGGACTTTTAGCTCCTGTAGTAATAGGTATGAAAATAATGCTGCAACAACTGTGGTTGCATAAACTATCTTGGGATGAGGCGTTGTCACAGTATATTGTGGAGGCATGCCCAAGCAGCACACTCATATCTAAATATATACTAAAAGATATCTAATAGAATTTAATTCGATTGAATATTTTAAGAGTTCAAATTCCCTCAAGATATCTCGAAGAAGGTTTCTAGATAATTCAAAGTAAAAGTGGGCACAACTAGTGGGTAGGTAGTGTTAAGAGTGATTCTTATCTTTTTTCTCAAGTAACCCTTCTAGAATGCTACAAGACCATTTGTAGAATGTAGACAGTTTTTATTTAGTCTTGTAGACAGTTTTTAGATAATTTATAGTCTATGATAGTTTTCTTAGTAATGCTATTTTAAAACCAAAATACTAAAGCGTTACAAACATAAGACGCAATGCTCTTAATACCTACTAATAGATTTCAAGTTTAATGGCTTACAAAATATAAACTATCAAAATTGCAACATGGCGAAATTAGATATAATATTTCTGACTTTTTCGCGCAATGTTTAATCGGTTCGAAAGCGCAAATTGAAGTGCAACTTTAAATACATTGTGAAAAGTGATGTAAAGGCTGCCATAAAAGTAATGCGCTCGCTAAATTTTAAATATTTATGTATTAAATATGAACTTAATAAAAATACAGTTATCGATTTTCGGTTTTAAATATTTATAGAAAGCTTAAATATACAAAATAACTCGCAAAACAAACCATTTCCAAGAAGTTCTAGGTTTTTTCAAGCTAATTTCAACTTAGATTTACTTTTTAAAAAGAAAAGAAATTTTTCTCGGCTACTTCATACTGTCATTCTTTAAAAATAAAAATGGCGATAAGAATTTAAAGCTTTTTTTCAAAACACAGTTGGAGCATTTTATCTATAGCTTTATCTATAGAAAGACTTTAGAATACAAAAATATTATTTTTACTTGCTTTAGTTTACTTCACCTTGTAGAAGAACTTACACTCCTATGAAGTTTTTATGATTGTTTACAAAACGCGTTGTTTCTAAGCGATTTTTTCTTTTGACAGTATTACAAAACCTTTATAAACGGTTGAAGTGCAAGCACTCAACGCGCGGCGGCATGTTGAAGCAAAGATTAATAATTATTGCAACAAAATTTGTGCGCCTGACGGTTTCACAATAGCAAACGTACACGAGCCAACTTATGCAATTTTCTTTTGTAATTTTTAGCTTGCTATTACACTCGGCAATACACGGTGTTCTCTTTTTTATTTTCACAAGTCTCTTTTATTTGGAACTTTCTGAAATTTCCAACAAAGATAATTATGTAATACAAAACGTAAAATATTGAAAAAATATATTAATAAATATATGTATAAAATATACTGCAAATTGTAATGACATTATAAAGTGTAAAAATAGTGTAAAATTATACCAAGGATACGATTTCCTAATTTCTGTTTGGGTTGGCACTCGCGATAGATTGTCAATTTAACATCAATCAATTTACCTTGATTGTAATAACCGGTAAACAAATTCTCCTACCTGAGCAATTCTTCTGTCTCTCAAAGCTAGGAACTTTTCGCCGACGCTTAGCAGCGCCTGATGCGCGTGCGTCAACCGAGCGTGAGTCATCCTTGCACGTTGCCTAAGTCGCGATAACGTTGCATCTCGTGTGTTTAGTAAATTGCACCGATCATCGTATGCACGAAGAAGCGTCTCGTAACGTTTTGATAGTTCTTCATATCTATAAAGTTGATGGTTTTGTAAATCTGCGATGAATGATACCTACAGATAATCATTTGGGTGTGGGGCAATTTGATGAAACGGCATTTCAATCAATTTTAAAAGAACAAAAGGGAGAAGACATATCCTATCAATGCTGATGAGATCGCATCAGCGAAAATGAAAAAATACTCAGAGCTTTCCCCAGAATTATCACCATGTACATTACTGACATCGCCAGCGTTGACCGTAGACCCATCAGCAAGCCGTTGACGAGAGTTTTGAGCAAGAGACTCAGTATCTACATTGCCATTAACGAGATCATCAGCCCCTTTATCACCACCTGTACGTCGCAGAGCTCTTCGGAACTTTTTATTTTAAAGGATTATTTGTAATTTAAGAGTGGAGGGATGTAGATATATATTGGAGTTGGCTGCATGTGCGCTGCATTCCACACGGACCAAACTCGGAAGTTAGTAATCGATTATAGGTTTGCAATCAGCTGAAACGTGTTTCTTTGCCGTGCCCTAAAGTGACTTCCTTTACATGTTACTACGAAACACTCAAATCACAATCAGAAATAAAGAAAATCGGGGTAAAGGTCTGCGGTAGGTATATTATTCTAAATCATCTCTATTGACATAAGGACTACGTAAAATATGTGCTATACGGCACGGTCATACTGCACTGTATACCTACATTACTGCCCTACAGCTGTAGTTAAAAAGTTTCAACACAAACTTACTCACTGGTACTGTAAACACACAATGCTCATTGTGGACCATGATTCGGCGACGTCAACTTGGCTTCGTGTTGGTTTTGCAGCATCTGCGATTACAAGTATTAGAGTCTATGCACACGGCGTATTTTATACGCGCCACAGATCCGCTGTAGTGAATCGATTTGTAACGCACGCAAACATCGCGTTGTAAGCATTCGCGTTATATACTCCACTGGAGTTTACACTGCGAATTTCATGTAGTTGCTTCATTTAAAAAACTAATAGAAATTAATAAATCGAACTAAAATTTAAATTATCTTTTATAAAAATGTGCGATACATACTGTCTGCTTATACGCCCAGATGACGGCGCAGAGTTTAAAATACGGCACATATAAAATACGCGGCGTGCATAGGCTCTTAGGAGATTCTCTGCTAAGTTGCTAAAATAGATACCTTTGAATTACTAAAAATTTACACAATTCATTATTTCCATCGGCCCGCTTAGATGCTTTTCAAACTGTTTATTTGCTTGTTAACTAAGGGAATCGCCACATTTTTGACTCTGAATCAGCTTGAGCTGGCCAGAAAAAGCTTGATAATATGTTCAATCAAAAGAGCGAAAAAAACGCGTGTTTCGCCTGTGTCGAGTCCCATCTTCCTTCGTCCATAAAATCTTTTCCGCTCTTATTAAATAGAATAGAAGCAATTTATTCCGTATAAAATCACAGTACACACAGTATACCTACAGCCTACAGTATTGTAGGTATAGTGTGTGTACTGTACTACAAAATACTAGATTTAAAACAAATGGAAAACACAACATCCCTCATTTGTCGTATTAGTATTACACGCATGTTAACACATAACAGGAATAAAAAAATATAAAAACTTGAAATAAATAATTATGTAACGAATAAATAATTAGCATAATAGGCAACGTGTGCTCTGTGCTGTTGGCATATGGCATGTAGGTAAAATATTTTTTCAGATACATTCAAGTGGATTCCGTGTCCATAAGTGTGGTAACTTCTAGGTCAATGTTGTAAGTATGTAAAAATGTGCATAAATAACATTGACTTACAAATAAATGGACGACGGGTCTAATACAAAAACCACGAAAAAAATGTCCCAAGTCAACCTATTCGAAATTTAAATTGTTATGTCATCGCAGTATCGCGCTGTCCGTAGAACAAATGAAGACTAAAGCGGAGTGTCGCGCTCTGTATACGATTTTAGCGCCTTACAAGTGCGGACACTTTTTAGCGCGGACCCGACGTCCATATAATTGTAAGTCAATGATAAATAACTATAATTTTTATTAATAAAAGGAACTGCCTCCAAACTTTATTTATACGTACATACAAACTGAAATTAAAAAGTTAACAATCGGTTGCAGAAAGTGTGAGTAACCGGATTAATCCCTTAGTTTGTCACCGTTTGAGGTGAAATATTTTCTTCAAATGTAAATGGTACCAATACTGAGGTACCCTCTTTCCAACAAAAAAGAATTCGGTTCACAAATGCCGGAGTAATCGTGTAACATACACACAAAAAATACAGTCGAATTGTGAGCGTCCTCCTTTTTTTGAAGTCGGTTAAGAATAGAGATTGGGATAGAATTTAGAAAGAAGCAACCTGTTGTAGAGCGTTTCGTGGTCTCCTTTCTTGAAGTTGAGCTTTGAGAGATTTCGCTATCCCACCAGTCGGTCAGGCTGTGTGTATGAGAATGCGTTGAATGGCATTTTACCAGTTGCTTTTCATACTTTTTAGTTTTATGTAAACTGCGCTCGAGGCTCGAGAGAAGCTTACACGCATTTTGTAAACCGTTCATAAAGTTCTTTTGATTGATGTCTCTCTGGAAAATCAACGTATTTGTAAGCTAGGGGCCGTATTTGCGACATCCTGTAGTACAGTTACGTACAGTCAAGAGCACATCAAGCTTGACACTTTGTACTTTGTACCGTTCTTATGGTAAGCGGCATAGAGTTGGATTTAAGTCTTAAGCGTCAAACTTGACGTGCTCTTGAGCCTGTACATTAATATGTCGCACACGAAACCAAATTAAAGTTCTTTTGATTTATGTCTCTCTGGAAAATCAACGTATTTTTAGGCTAGGGGCCGTATTTGCGACCGGTTTTGTTTGCAAGTGGCGATTGTGTCTAGCCTCATCCCTTGCCTTATTAACGTTTGTTTTGTAAAAACCTTTTATTTAAAATAAAAATATCATCTAGCCCTTAAATGCCTTAGATTGACTAGAACCAGCACGCTGCGGGTGGTCGATAGGTACTGACCGCAAGGAAAATGAACCCTTAGCGCCCAGTTATACGACGCGAAAGTTTTCGCGCGGATTCTGCGGCGACCACCTAATCACCATGCTTTCACGTACATTAATGGCGAATCTGAATTCAATTTACTAAGTAACAACATCTATATTCATCTGAATAACACAATAATACAACCGCGTGGTCGCCGCGTATACCAAACACAAGCCAGTTCGTCAGGGCGCCCGGGATGCTCACGTCAAGTTAAAACGTAAGGTTAAACAAATAGAGCGTACTTTGCCATGACAGTTAGATGCACGCGGTCGCTGCGCGGCGGCATCGTGGTCATCGCGCGGCGTGAGCGTGATTAAACTCGTGTCGAATAAATGCGCCCTTAAGGTGGTAAAGCGTCAACTTTGTTGGTTGCACATGAATCCTTGTGACTGTTTTGAAGAGATGTGGATATTCAGGACTGAGGGGACAATTTTCAAAGGAAACCCAGAGAATAAAAGACTCACAGCAGAGTTTGAGCCAGCATATTTGAAACCTCCAGGTGTGTAAACAGTATTATGTATAGAGTTCATTCTTATAAATTAAACTACTAAGCAGCCTCTTAGAAAAATAGATAAAAATCTATCTGTACCAAATATGATTGGTTTTAACGTCAAAACCATAGAGTACTTTATTATGACCATGGAACTTCATAGGAAGTTTTATGTGTAAAGCTTAGACTATGGAAACTAAAGGACATGTTACGTTGACATATATAAATCAGACGTTATATGTATATGATGCATTTCGACGTCGAAAACATAAACATATTATTGTCTTTGTTTAACTATTACGTGCCGTCTTAAGCCAAAAGAGATAGCATTACATTGGTCTGTGTCAAACACGGGAATCGAAAATTCGTAACGTCATTTTAAATGCCAACCGTGGCCATTTCAAGTACATGAGGTACATGATACCGTTGTCAAAGGGAAGTACATCAAATGTCAAAACAAATGTTTTTCCAAATGTATTATTGAATTATTCACATGTATTATAATTAAATTGGACAAAAATATTGACAGTGAGAATAATTAGGTATTAATAAAAATGCGACGCTGCAGCATTAAAGGATGCGGCTTTAGAAAAACTGCAAATCAATCGAATGTTACATTGCACAGGCATGTGTTATTTTTTTGTCTATAAATCACACAATAGCCCGAATATTTTATGTGATTAGACTTATTTAAGTAGTTTATTTATAAATCTTGCCAAATTTTGCTTTTGTTACTTTAGATTGCCTGTTTGTTTGTATATTTTGATGATTGTTGTTAACGATTATTTTGAGATAGTGTTGATCTTGTAAGCGTACATATTATCGATATTCTGTTATTAAAACAATTCACTATGAGGTTTTTATTGTTTTGTTATTATTATTTCAAGTTTTCCTACAAATGAAAAAAGGAAGAAATAATGGTTGGAAATCATAGGACTGCCGAATATAAACGGTAATATGCACGTTGATTCTGTACTTAGGGCAGCTCCTTTCTTTTATTTTTTTCCATCCTCTAAGGTGTAAAGTATCTCTTTGGTCGGGAGGAAAACCATAGAGGATAGGAAAAATAATAATGCCACCATTGATCTACATAATATATCATAGATTTAGTACGTAGTTTATACTAATCGCGTTAAGTCAAGAAAAATACCCTTGATCACGACAGATAGGAAGGAATTAAAATAAATAAACAACGCACACACTCATAGCTCCGCACTAGAAAAAGATGAGAGAAATAAATGTAGGCCATACAAATATTTCTCCGGACCTTCTTTCTCAGGACCTCAGCATGTCTGGCCAACACGGTAACCGTTCGGCCACGGAGGCAGATCTTTATATATATATGCGAGCTACGTACCTTTTTAAATCATCCATCATCAACTTACATGCATCCACTGCTGGACATAAGCCTCCCCTTGAGCACGCCAACTCTCCCGGTCTTGTGCCGCACACTACGTAAATGTGGCTAAGTTGTGCCCAAATGCCGCCCATCCCAAACGAATAATCCTGTCAGCTTCCTTCTCGAAGTTGTGCTTGCCAAGCTGGATATTTTGGCCAAGGTAGACGTAATTATGCACAACCTCAAAAGTAGTCCACCTAAGGTTACAGGTCCCGGGCTCACATGTGCGTTGAACATAACTTTCGTTTTGTCCAAGTTCACCCTGAGACCTACTCGCTGTGAAGAATAGTTTAATTTGTTCACCTTAAGCGATTCTTCACAGTTTAAATCATTAACAATAAAATAAATAAATGTAACAGGATACAAATAAGGATACTTCAATAATCTTGTTCTTATTATAGTTAAAAAAAGGCAGACGTGTAACTAGCGTCCGCGTCGTAAAGACTAGACAACTTTTACTTACTCACACAGACTCATTTTATTTATAGGAGGTAAATGGGTATAAATGGGTAGGTAAAGGAACACGTAAAGATATTAGTTGCTCGATTAAGAAGGGACTGTTAAATAGGGAACACGAAAAAAAGATGTAACCTAGGTCTCCCTTATTGACGTTGGCACAAAGTAGTCTACAAAAATGCGACACAAATAGTCAAGTGCCTGTAATGTCTAGTCAATATTATAGTATAGATGTATAATTAAAAATATTTCTAGAGAATAGTTTGTACTCATAATACTAAATCTATGTATAGGTAATATGCATGTAGGGTTATTTGAAAAATAGTAACGGCCTATTTATTACTAATATCATAAACAAAAACTTTTGTTCCATGACTTTTTACAAAACAAATTTACCAACAACATCGAGTATATAACCAGAAATAGAGACGAAATAAGGGCCATCCATCCTTGGCAACTCATAAGGTAAATGACATGAAGATTGTTTCAAGAGTACACACTAGAACCTCGTTACTGTATCTGCACGTTACAGTTCGCTAATGAGTACCCGGCTTTAGACGGCTCCCTGCGAACCGCACGTGTACCGCTCGCGAATCACGTACGCACTATGAATTTTGGTTACATAACATGCAACAGTTATAGTTACAGCTCGCTAGTGAGTACCCGCCCTTATATCACTTTTTTTTAAATAGGTATCAACTCTCGTTTGCGCTGAAATCACAAATTAGGAAACTGAAATAGTACAGCGCCAACAACTGACTTGTGTGTACGTATCCGTATATATCAAAAATATTCTGTATTTATTGTAATAAAGATAATTTCTCTAACAAATGGGGCTGTTCCGTTCGGTGGTGTGGAAAAAACAGCAAAACATCTAATTACAAAACAAACGGAATCACATTCCATCGGTAATTAAATACGTAATTTTGCAATTTTCGTCCATTATAGCAATGCTCAAGTTAAACTGGTCGATTTGAATCAGTTCAAACAAAAAAACGATTGACGACACCCGTCAATTGTTTCGGATTCGTGTAATGATTTGGCAGAATAGTTTTCAAACAAATTAAATGACTTTTCGTGTCGATTTCAACTTTTGTATCTATGGCTCCGTGGTCGTGTCGATTTATGGCTATATACTCGATGACCAACAATAAACTTTAAAGTTTAGTTATACTATCTGACACTTTAGATTTGTATTTGGTACTAAAATATAAGTTCAAACGTGCAAAATGTCCTGCGTTTTGCATCGACTGGCATTTATGCCATTTCATTCGTTATTACTTATTACACTGAGTTTTCGCTGTTTCGAGCGATCTTTTTATTTTTGTATAAAAGAAAAATCTGATCAATTATTAAAATTGTTAATATTTTACAAATACCGCCGTACAGAGATTTTTATTCTGTCACTGTCACATAGGATTGCACAGTAAAAATAAAAATACAGAGGAATCATTGTCAGATGGTTTATTTGTTCAACTACAACAAAAGCATAACTTTTAAAACTAAATCAGTCTAAAAATATTCTATCTCCTGCAACCCGCACTAGAACTACAATGACTCAAATATTTCATTGAAATAAAAAGGTTAAAAACTAAACTACTCTGGTAATAGTTGATTCTAAATCCTTACTGGTGCAATTTGTACCATGTCTCAATAATTTCGTAACCATTTATTTCGTACGAATTTCCCTTGCTACGGTGTAAGTAGCTATTAGGTTCTAGGTTCAAAGTATTAAAAATAATTTGCAACTTTATAGTACAAATGTTTTTTTCTATAAAAGGTTTATTTAGCACACAGTTGAAGATGCGAAATTATATAGATTTAATATGAACTACTAAAACAAAGTTTTAAAAGTACAAAGTGCACAAAACAAGCGTAAAATTCCTGCATTCTTTGGCAAATAATACATTTGTTTTATCACGGCGGAAATTTAAACAAAACTAATATCCTAAGATTTAACAGCACAAGGCGATGAAGTTTTTAATGGAAGACTTGGCTTGGTTTTGTGATGTAAAAACTATTTATTCATTCGGATCCAGTGGAGTCTGCGGTTGTTTTAATACATTGGCAAACAATAAATGATATAAAAAAAGAAATTATTATATATTAAATATAACTTGGTAGTCTATGATCTAATGTAGATTAAATGAAGTGTACAGGCATCATGTACGACAATAAACAACTTACATTTAACGAAAATGAATTATTGACATCACGAACACAGAACATCAAAATTCCGGGTCAAAACAATGTAAAAAATATATTTCGGTTAAAATTGTAAGTTACATTTATTTGTGCTAAATTCGTGGTATGACGATCGTGGTCATTGACAGAAGTAAACAAAAGAAAAACTTCAATTAACCTCCTAAGGCCCCGTGTAAATGAAAATGTACGTGTGAAATGATTCAGGCCCAGACAATACTAGTCCTATGACCACGTAAACGCCCAGTTTACTTTGTAAATTACTAATAACCAAGTTGGACTATATTACTAATATCATTGTTCCATGACTTTTCACAAAACAATATTTTTTTAGATCTGATTTTGGTGGTATGTTCAAACGTGCTAGCGTCCCGACGACCCCCACCCGCGTCGTGCGTTTTGCGTACCGGACTGGTTTTAAGATGGGTATCCATTACGTTCGCGCACCAACTATGCTCCATGCATCTGCAACCGCTCTAATGGAGACGTTACGCGCATCACTACAAGAAAACCGAGTGCTCCATTAGGTTCGCGCATCGAATCTGCTCCGCGCATGCGACTGCTCCACATTTTTCATTTGAACATTCAGGGAACATGTCGTCCTCAGAATTAATAGCTAGAGTGACGCATACATTTTAATTAATTTAATTGTTCACGAGCTAAATATTTCTCTTCGAGTCATTTCATAGCGCTAAATTCGCGGTAACTTAAAAAATCTTAGCGGAGTGCGGAGCGTGACACCCGAAAACGTCTTGTTTGCTCGCGTCCACGAACACACTGCGCTTCGTTTTGAGTTCGCGCAAAAACCGCCAACGCGAGGAGCGTGCAACATTGCTTGAACATTGTATGGGGACGTATCCACTAACAGAGCAGTTGCA